ATTACAGGTCTCATTACATTACCACAGACTTTTACCACAGGGTTTTTACACAATCATGTACATGCACACAAAGTACCGATTGAAAACTAAGATACTGTCCATTTAGCTGGCATCTGATTAAATCGTTTCCACATTTCAAGTGTTTGGGAACTGAGAATACTACAGTAACTGTTGCTTTTTTTACTACAGGCCCGAAGAACTCTGTCTGTGTTTGCATCAGAAATTGATAAAGTGCTGCCTCGTGGTTTTTAAGGCAATCAGAGTTACAGTTGTGATGCAACAGCAAACTCTTTTAGTCACTTTCAAAATCATCATGTGACCATGTACCTCACAGTAGCGTGGATGTGTCTGATGCAGTACCGTCTCGTGACCTGAAGGCTACCCCTTGACATTTACAGACACAGCACAGAGATTTCTCCAGACTTCCTTAATCTGCTTTCAGAATAACTTACTAAGATTTTCGTTTCTAACTTGTGTTTGGAAATGCTGCTTTTTCGATTTTTCGAAAATTCAATGCGGTGTTCAGCAAAATGTTACCGCTACATGCAACCAAACTGGCCTTCGGCAGATGCTCCTTTTGTACAAAAATATGTTGATCTGTCAACTGAGTCAACTCAGTTGACAACTCAGTTTCAATTAGTTTTGTCATTTCGCTGTTTCTTTACCTTTGTCACAACATTTTGTTAATATTCTACCCATTGAATAATGTTGTTTTGTGATGAAAATCAATAAAAAAATGTTTTTTTTTCCATTAAGTCTCATGTTGATGAGTCTAAAGCAGCAGTTATCACACCTGCCAAGGGCTGGGTGATATGGACTAAAAGTAATATTGCGATATTTTCTTAGCTGAATTGCGATACTCTATAAATATCGAACTTTTTTTGTGACATAATAGTGTTTTCTCCTGAAGCATTATAGCATTTTTAGTTTGCCAAATATCACACAGGCACGTTTCAAAACAAAAAGAGAGACAGCAATGAGCATGCATTATTAAAACTATATCAATACAAATAATCACATCAATAATAACCCACAGTCCTACACCTGCCTCACACGTCCACCCTACATGCAGGAGGTCCTGAGTTTGAACGCCGGTGGAACCATATACTCACTCCTCCTCATGTAAGACTCTCTGGATAAAAGCCTCAATGCATAAATGTAATTTAATGCAAATGTGTTGAGTTTCAATACTACCGTTTTTATTTGATGATATGATGATTTATGCTACAGGGGATTGTAATAGTGGGTTCAAATATTAAAAGACTGTGTTACATAACCTTGATGTCAAAGCCTTCCTGGAGCTCCTTTAATTAACTTACATAACTGCCAAACTAAAACACCCCGAAGAAGAGAAAGCAAACACCTCGGCCAATATTCCCACATTTTTAGTTAAGTCAAGTAAAACTCAAATATTTGTTTCCACAGGTCATGACCACCCTTCCTAAATATGAAGAGTTCCGTCTCATTCACTTACTGTGGGAAGAGAAACACACACACAGACAAAAACATAACCTCTTTGACCGAGTTAATAATAGATGTTGGTTGAAATCGTATCAGAATTTCTCTACTGCGGACCTCAAGACAGCACAGTGTATGGTGTAGGTTACCCACTTACACAACCCTACGATGACTTTGTTAGACTGTTGTGAACTGGGCTGTAAACCTGTGGAATCAGTGTGTTGAACCACTGTATTGAAGTAACTGTTTATAAGTAACACACACTATAATTCAAACCAGGCACGTGCAACTTAACCAGGTCTTACTGCCTGTTACGTCACCGTGAGGTGAGAGATATTCGCTGCAGGCTCCTGACTTACAGAATGATCACAACATGAACGTCATGGTTTTTTTTTTTTTTTTTTGATCTCATGTGAAGCCGAAACCTTGAGGCTGTGAGTCTTAGCCTGATGACCTGTCACATGACACAATGCACGTACCTAACGAACCAAGTGCACGGTGTGTTAAGACATGTTTTAACCTTTTATTCTGCCGTTGATTCATGCACTAAGTATTAAAGAAAACAAGATCGGATTAGAGCAGTTACAGCGTGGTATAATGGAAGGTGGGGTTAACGCCGTCGGTGATTCTGCTGTTTTTATCTATAAACATGCCGTTGTGGGGGTTGTATTTAGATCGCGCTCTCCGAGGGTATGAACCCATCCAGGCGTAATGAGGGTTGTTTATGCCCCGACAGAACACGATTCCAATTGTCAACATGCGCACAGCTGGGACTGTTTGTATTTCATCTTCTTCAAATCTTCACACGCGCCACGGCTACAGTAGGTGTCACGGACTTGAGTCCTGGAGGTCTTTGCAAATTGATTTTCAATTGTGTCCAACAATTGTTCAAAGACGCAGTGATGCAATATATGATGTCTCATATACGGAAGGGAATGACTTACTCACTTACTTATTGAGATATTGCTATAAATTGGGTAAAACAAAAAGAAGGAAATCTACTTTGGCTGCTGAGATCAGATCTATTGTTAAGAAAAAGCGCTTAATCTGGATGAATGAAAACAATCAAATCTTAAACTTAGGTGAGTTTACATTCATTAAAGCCTCAGTCAGACTGTTACTAAAATAATATTTATACAAATCAACCATCATGAAATATTTCATAGTGCAACTTTATAGTGTACCAGTACAAATAAACACAGGATACATAAAGAAATAAGCACAAGTTTATAGAAAAGTTAAAGTCAACACTGGGTTAAAAAAAAAAAAAGGAAAAAAAAACTGGTAAAACTTGTATTATTCACACACACACACACCCATAATATATGCCAAACAAAAACAAAGTACACACACGCACGCACTCATCTCTACATGTCTGGACGGGACTTCCACAGATGTTTGACATTCCAAGTGTGTGTGTGTGTGTGTGTGTTTGTCTTTTCTTGTGTCTGTGACATGTGCGTGAGGGAACATGCATTCACACAGAGCCACAGCTACAGCCTTCCTGTTCATGTAGTTTCTTTTTTTAAGTCTTTCTAGTTGACTTTTTTTCTTTTTTTGGTTTTGTTTTTTTCATCAATTTCTTTCATAGTGAATGGGGAAAGATTTTATTAACCAAACAGTCTTTGAAATCAACTGTCGTCATCTACATGTACACGACCTGAGACTGCAGTGTGTCATGGGCAAATTCTAATAATATTTAATTTGTTGTAAATAATGACGTTTGTCGTCTCTGTGACTTGAATAAACATAAATTGAAAAAAAGGAGAAAACGGTTTCTACCGTATGTTTCATAGATCTAAACCAGAGTTGGTTAACACTATAATTCTGTTCTAATATACTGTTCACCAGGAATATTTGCCAATTTGCGGTTATTTATTTTTATTTCTTGCTGATATCGCCCAACCCTACTGCACATGTACATTTGACCCACGGCTGGGAAAAGGCGTCTTTCTATAGTGATGTCACAGTCATTATCTACTGTACCCTTTGTACTGTGTGTTCATTGGATTAGAAACATCTCTCTTACACACATCTCTACAAATGCATCATATAAAAGACCACGTTTTCACCTGATTATGATTCTTCTACTGTCAGGATTTAACATCATAACGACTTCACCCCTGGGACACCTGCATGAATGAACAGGGTCTCCAGTTCATTGACTTAAATTAGTTCGATTTGAGGTCAATAAAATAGAAGTGTTAGCTATATCTTGTTTTTATGACCAAAAAAATAAAATAATAATAATAAACAAAACATTTTAAGAGACCTGCTTTCAATGTCATTTGTGAGGATTTTATCTATAAAAACACCTGTCACTGTCCAGTTATTATTATTATTAATAATAATAATAATAAGCTGCTTCTGAAAGCTTCAGTCAGAGTATTATTGACAACATATTATTATTATTAATAATAATAATAAGCTGCTTCAGTCAGAGTATTATTGACAACCTGACAAACCTTCCCTCTGAGCTGTTTGCTGTGGAGGAGGACGACAATAAATCGAAGTTATCAGTTAACCCATGGAAACTAACCACGAAACACAATCTGACATCAGCCCTACCTGTGCACAGCTCTGGTGTTGCTCTGATGTGTTACATGCTCACAGTATGACACCACAAAGTGCGCACAACAAATGTTCAGCCTCCTTACCCATGATGCATTTCCTGTGCCGCCAACAGTCTCTGTCCTGGGCAGATAAAGGGACGTGGCGTGTTTCTTTAAAAGACCACAACTCAACACTAAGACTGTGCAACAGCTCCACATAATCAACCATGTGTCACACCAGTGTGTGTGACTGAAGCAGTTTTGATGTGAACAGGTCAAGTATGTTTAGGTGGCTGAGGGACATAGGTCAGTGAAAAAAGGATATCACAAGCACAGCAAAAAAAAAAACACTTTCTGCAGAACTCTGGCACACATGAGATCAAGGGCTGTCACTGTAAGTGCCTGTTTATGGAACCATTTTGTTCAGTCGTCCGTGTCTAGACACCCACCCACTCGTTACAACCAAAACCAGCCAACAGCCCACAGACGGGCGTCACTACCCACACATACACACACACACACACAAATTCACCATTTTATGAACCCCACCAGTCAGTCAGTCTCGACATTGAAAGAGAAGCTTATGAAATCCAGCTTGCCGCTCTGTCTGGTTGATCCCTCTCTGAGGCCAAAACCAGACATCTCAGTTTTCACCACCGTGTCCACTCTTCTACTCTTACACCTCACACTGTCTCCTCGGCCTCGGCCTCGGCCCGTTGGAGGATTCGCTCTCATTTATCTCTGTTTGCAAAGCAGTTGCTTTGAGTTTGACACCTGCCTGCCAACATCAGCCGACCGGTCACCCTGACCCGCGGCGCAATGAATTCAACCAGAACATTCTCACGGTACAAACTCCCATCACCTACCTTCACACAAACACACACACACCAAAGAAGAAAAACCATCACCTACCTTCACACAAACACAAACACAAAAGAAAAATAAAACACATGCTGCTCACCAATCAGGTGATTAAGCATCTGCTCTTACCTTGGCACTGGAATCCCTGCTTCCCAAAGCCCCTGTGGACAAAACACAAAGGCAGATTAAACGTGGGTGAAATGAACGTTACAAGATGTTCAAAGTTAAGAGAGGCTGCAACAGGGTAGGCAAAGTAGGCAGCCGTCTCGGATTTCAAGGTCGGAATCCAAATATTTTTCCCCAAATGTACGAGATCCGAGTGTACGCTGCTGTAAACAGGATGAACATTGTCTCCACAACAGCTGCGCTGAAAAGAAAATTTGTTTTGAGAGAAACACATGTGATCAAAAGCCAAGACATAGTGGAGCTAGGCGTGTCGTTGTGTTCACAGTTATGACAAATAACCAGAACACAGATACACATCAGCAGCTGTACTTGAAATCTCAACATACTAATTCAAAGTATTCAAACTGTGGTTCACCCCTATTACATCATCGAGGCAGGTCATCGTCAGACAGAGAAAACGCTACAGGAACCACAGCACAGTCAATGTGTGTCAATGACCATCCACTCTATTTACAGTGGAGATTGACTTTACAAGGATTCACTGGCAGAATTTGAATAAACAACCACTCAGTATAACGTACACATTCACGTTGTTTTGCTTGTGAAACCTAGTGGCCTTTAATTTTACTGCAGCAAAACATACTCAGCAGTCTCTCTCTCTCTCTCTCTCTCTTTTTTCACTCTGTGCATTCCTCCCTTGTCTCTTTTTTCACTCTGTGCATTCCTCCCTTCATTATTGTTAGCTCTCATACCCTGCTGCTAAGACAGTGCTTTCTTTCCATACGTCTCAAAAACACTGTGCAGGTGGGTGTCAGTCTGTGTATGTTTATCTACGTTTCTTGGTGGTTGCATTTATTACATAAACGTATGCAAACTGTTTTTTGGGGGGAGTTTTTGCAACCAAGACGAGGTAATCTACAGCACTCTCAACAGCAGGTTCTTGGTCAGCTGGTTACTGTCCTGGTTATTGGCCCATAAACTTAAATCTTAAACACAATTGCAGGCAGCAGGGTTTTTCAACATTCCTGTTTGGGGCTCAAAAAAGTCAGTCCTGTATGGAAAAACAGGGCAAATTTTGAAGGATTTTTTTTAAAGAGACAGTTCTGTGGGTGTAAGGCACTTAAACAGCTTGGGTTTCCCCATTCATGAACCATAAACAATGATTGGACATAGTCATTGTTATTGTTCTCAGTAGACTAGGGGCCATTCATTGTTTTTTGAAGTACTGTCTTCATGCTGATTAAGGCTGTAGGAAATGACAACAGTGCAAGAAAATGTCAAGTGCTAGCACGGATACCTAGTGGGATTGACATATGGACTGTCCAGTAGGAGGCGTATTGTCGTGAACTTCATCAAGAACTTCCAATTAGGTTTCTATTGAAAGGTAGGATCATAATTTCCCAAAGAATTTGAGTGAGATAAAGATTTGTTACGGTTACAGTACTTCATGAATCAGCAGCTGCTTCTTTTTTCAAACACTATTCTGTAACGATGGTCTGCGTAGATACGACTTCAAGACGTCTAATAACCAACATGCAGTATTTAGTTAAAGCAACGTCTGACAGGCCAAGGACCCTGGAACCTGTATACGTAAATGTGTGTTGTTTTCTATATTGTTCTTTAACTGTCATTTTAGCTACACTGCCCTTGATAAACCCTTACAAACGACAACATCATACACGATGTACCATCAAGTGTACGGCAATTCTGTATGTCGTGGTTGGATCAACCAAAACGATTACGACACCCAGAAGTACCAGTACCTCCAGATGAATATCTCTATTTACAGTCAGTTACTTGACTCTTTATAATTAAGTATACCAGTACATGTGAAAAAAATGTCAACACTAATGCAAACCAACACATACTGTACTTGCTTTGTCAAATCCAGTCCTAAAAGCTCCAGTAAATCACATTTCTTTCAAGGACAAAGACATCAATGATGCTCAACCCAAAGGCAGCGTCAATAATTATGATGGTTTTCATCGATGGACAAATCAATAATAATGTAAAGCTGTAATGCAGATATTCAATCACACACGTTCACATCAACCCACACATCTGCTCCAGCTGCAGCAGCAGCAGCGGGGGCCTGCGGTGCCTCTGCCTCCAGCTGCATTCCTCCAGCAGACCTCCAGTTTCAGGGAACTGCTGTCAGGTCGATGCAGCAAGGCTGCCAACAAGAGTGGCATCATCCACGCACACGCGCGTACACACACACACTACATATACTGAGGCCCGCGGTGTTGTCGCATTGTGGTGATTTGGGTTGAGAATGGCGCATCGCGTTGCTGTTTTTTTTTTTTTTCCGCACATTGACAGCAAATCAAGGACTACGGTGTGTTAACGCTGGCAGTGGAGAAAGAGGCCGAGAGGAGACGCTGTCACCACCGCAGCTGCAGCAGCAGCAGCAGCAAGTGAATCACCTGTGTCCTTTCCCCTGACACACAAACACACACACGCGCGCACGGACACCCGTACTGTCACACTCACCAGATGAAGTCGGTGCAGTGGCTGCAGAAGGTGGGCTGCTTGAAGAAGCGGGCGATGAACTTGTGGTTCTTCACTTCGTGTACGTTCTTCTGTCGCAGGGCTCCCTGGCGGGCGAAGCCGCGGATGTTCTCCTGCGCCTCTCCGTCGCTGTTGGGGTCAGCCATCTTTAAACGAGGAAGCGGCAGCGGCGCTCCGAGAGGAACGAGGGGTGAGGAGGGCTGAAGAGACACAGAGAGAAGAGGGAGGGAGAGACGATGGAGGCAGCGGAGGAGAATGAGTGGCGGTGCGGGTGCCTCCTCCTCCTCCTCTCCGCCCCTCTGACCGCCTCGAATGTGGCTCCTGCTGCCGGTGTTTTTTGGGGGCGAGCTCGAGTCAAAGCTGGAGCTAAAGTGACAGCTTCTTCCGGCAGCTCTAGTCGCTGCGAGCCGCTGCTTCCCTGTTCTCGCCAACACTGTACTGCTGCTGCTGCTGACGCCTCACACACACCGTGTGTTTGCGGGTACGTGTGTGTGCGCGCGCCCGCGCGTGTTTCACACGTTAGGTGATAGGTTCAAGTCTAAAAATCGAAATACAAACACAAGTACAATTTCTACAGTAAAACTGTGACTGCACGAAAGGTCGTGGCATTCACCTTGACATTCTACAGTTCAACTATTTTTCAAAGAAAATAAAATTAAATAATTAAAGTATAAACCATTAATTATGTATAAAACGTGTTCCTTTGTTTATTGTGTCACTAGAAGTACATTGAAACTCTCAGTTTGTTTTTGTTTTGTAAGGTGGTTCTAAAGACCAGTGGTTATCACACCTGCCTTACATGCAGAACGTTCTGGGTTCGAGTCCCATTGCATCAGTTGTGTGTTGATGTGTAGAGCTGTTTACAGGAACTCCATTGCAGACTGTGGTTGCAGGATAAGGATGTAAAAGAACACCCAGAATCCTCCAGTGGTTTAGTATGTTTTTTGGGGGGGTTTCTGTGCAGGTGTGTGCAAACTTTGTGGCTCGCGGGCCACAGTTGGTCCCAAAATGTGGGGGGTCGGGTCAGAAACAGATAAATGGAGTGTTTGTGTGAACTAAGATGAATGACATGTAAAAGTCATGCATAAAGGCTAATATGCTAAAATACTTTTAGCCTTCTCTACGCCATCCACCGGGAAAATGAGGGCATTGCAGGGAAAGGGCAGAAATATAATCATAATACAAAACGATTATATAACGTGGAGGGCCGGATTACAAAGCTGAAAGGACCGCATCTGGCCCCGGGCCTTAGTTTGCCCTTGTCTGTTTTAGTGTATAAGCCTATGTGGGTAAGCCCCTCTCACCCCCCCTTCATTTAAAACCTCTGTGAACTTGTATCTTCCTGGTCTCAAATCTAGGCCTAAGATTTTCCATAAAACGTCACATCTGTTTTGTAATATATTCACATGAAGACCAAAGATATAGAAAAATGAAAATGAAGTCACAAGAAGGTAGTTTGAGGATGTGTCGTCTATGAAAAAAACAAACAAACGATTTCCAAAGACCCTCTCCTCAGCTGACCCCCTCTGACCTCTGACCCTTTGCAGTTTCACAATAAACTGAACGTGTCCATACATTGATTTGTGGCCACAGATTAACAAACATCTATCAGCTCAGTGGCAGCAAACAAGCTGACATCTATACGTTGAAGAAACACTTAGAAAAGAAACGCAGCACTTGATGTGGCTCCGATAACTGGATCGGGTGTCAATAACAATAGATATAGGTGCCGGGGGATTCACCCACTCAAATCAATGTTTTGAAACTCTATCTGGAGGATTGAATTTGTTATCTTTTATTGCATCATGGTGGACAATCAGTTGTTGGACAAACATATTCCATGATTACTGCACCATCAGATTCAGTCCTTTTCTGGCCGCTACATCGATATGCTAACAATAGTCTAAAGCAGGGGTGTTCAACATATGGCCCGCAGGCCAAAATTGGCCCACTCAGGGGTTCATTACGGCCCGATTGATGAATGTTGAAATTGAAAAAATGTGTAATGTTTTGTTTTCTTATTTCAAAAATTTCATTACATACATTTTTTTCTAATATACTTATTACTTATTTGCATCAAAACAAAGGGGAAAATTTGACTTATTGTTATTTATAGGTAATTATGTTATAATTTTACTGGTCCTGACATCTAAACAGGTAGCACAATCATGTGGCCCCTCAACCAAAATACGTTTGACACCCCCTGGTTTAATGGGTCCCACACTAAGGTACCGATTGTCACACTTTACTCCACTACTGGGTTTCCGTGAATTCACAGGTTCAACAGGTATGACGCAACAGATGGTTTGAGTGAAGTATCTCAGTTGATCAATGTTGACAGACTTTCTTGATGAGGGATGGTTACAGTCTGTAGAGGCAGATTAAAAAAACAATTTCTTGTCACTCAGTGCATGAGGTGAGGTACATGGGTGGAAATGAGACATGGGATTGGACCACCTCAGTTAGAACCACATCCTGCCCGGCGTGGAAACAATCATAGTGCAGCGCTGTTTTCATTCAAATATTAAAAACAAACAACAGGTTTGCAAGCAAAAGCAACAGAACTGCCTGTAAAAACCCCAAAAAGAAGAAGAAGAATCGATTTGAGATTTGACAGATTTTGCGTCACTTTTGACCTTAAACCTCGTCCTCGTAGGTGTAAAGTTGTCAAACGAGTGGTTAAAGAAGGCCATGTGTTTTCACCACTGTTGGTACACAGAATAGCAGGACCCTATGCTATGTTTACATGCGGTCGATGGCTGACAACACTGACTCAGACATTACATTTGTTCTGAGGTGTCCCATTAGCAACAGCTCTCTGAGCTTCAATCAATTAGCTTTTACTGCTTAGATTGAGTATTTTTAATTAAGCACTTCATTCACAGAACAACAAGGCACTACTTTAGTGAACCTCTAGGGGACGGAGGTCATTTATGAGACAAAACATTATTACGCAGTTTACCTCCAACTCCAGTACTGACTCATACTAAACATGAAATGATAAATTATAAAATGCTGATTTTATAGACGTTACCCTTGTTCACTTTTATCATAGTATTTTTTACTGTTTAATATACCTATATTAAACAGTAAAAAAGAGCAGAGCAGAGGTGAAAAAAACCCAGACATCAATAAACGATTTCTGATGAATATATTAAACCAACCTTTCTACAGAGAACACAGTCGAACGTTCTAGGCTTTAAGCTGAGTTCAACCACTTGTGGCTGTGGCCTCACATTTACTCAGTGATACGAACCTCTTCATTTCCTGATGTGTTGTAGCATATGTCACTGTGAAAACACACAGCACAGAGGCGGTCAGGTGGGAAGACAGCAGAGCAAACATTCACCTGGTTGTTCCAGCCATGCACATTAGTACAGGAGAGCAAACAGCCCTGGGTCCTCGACACCTACAGTCAGTCTCAACACGTCTGCGCTCAGCACAGGTTTCATAACTTTAAGGGCGTGGGAAAGTCATGTTTGTTCCTTTATTTATGTCATGGTTTTGTGCAAAGAAAAAAAAAAGATTAAATATTTAAAAAAAAAAAGTCTCTTCCATAAAGGTTTGGAAATTCATGGAAGTCAAATAAAAAGCTCAAGTACTAAAGAACATTAACCTCACCTGGTGTGAAAAAGATCCACAATGAAAACATTTCTGCTAAAATCTATAAAACCTTAAAATCTTTTTTTTTAGAAAATAAACATTATTTGACCTGTTGGTGAAGATTAAAACAACGTTTTATTCAGAAACCATGCATTCTGGGTAAACATAGAACTGTTTACACAAATGCACCAGTCACATTCTGGGTAAACATAGAACTGTTTACCCAAATGCACCAGTCAGAATGAGGCTGAAAATAAAATAGCTCCTGTTCAAGGCTTCAAATCACATGATATCTGAAGTTGTAGTATCGCCCGGAAGTATTCAAAGCAAGGGGTGCAACGAGAGTTTACAGCTAATAACGAGATAAAGCTGGAGGGAGGGAGAGAGAGAGAGAGAGAGAGACAGAGAGAGAGAGAGAGAGAGGAGTGTGATTTCAGTTTTTCATTTGCACAAATGTACAAACATCCTCCTCACGGCTGCCAGCACAGCACTACTGACAGGATCACTCACCAGTAACATACAATTATACGTAGAACTATGGTTGTGATTTACAACAACTGAGATTTATTTTAATCCAATATAATAGAAAAAAAATACTGATCAGCGAGGCTTAAAAAAGAGAGTGATGCATGTTCTTTTGTCTGTTGGTAAAATTACTTGATCAGTTTTGTTTTTAATAGTTGTAGTACTGTATGTAGTTGTAGCAGAGCATGTACTGTAGTATTGTTGAGTAATACTCCTGGTTGTTGAAAAAGCAGGCTGTAAGGGTTTCCCCAGCAGAATGAATGCATCATCTGCAATGTAATGTGAAGAACTGTCACAGAAGAACTTCCCTTTATAAACAGGAAAAATACAGCGTGTGTTATCGTTTGAAAAAAAAAAAAAGATTGATATCTGTGCTTTAGTATGTGTCAGTACCTCTTTCTGTTCATGGACATAGTTTGATTCACGACAGATAATTCTGATTGCACTTTAAAAAAAATCTTTGATTTAACAGAATCTTTTTATTTTCAAAATAAGATAATTTCCATATAAATTCTCAAATTTGCATTTTTTTAAATCCATCAGAAGTAAAATAACTGTGAAAAACACAACATTTCACTTTTTGAAAGAACATTTATGTCCTTTATTTTAAAGATAGCATTAAAAGACATTCACCCATGTACAGTATTAGTAACGTCACAAATGTATAATGTTTTACTGTCTGGATGGAAATCCCAGCTCAAATGGGATTAGCTCCGCCCCCTCTTCGCCATTAACCCATGATCTACACCAGGCAGTTGAGATGAACAGATTGATGCACATGTGTGGATGGAGGGATGACTTGATTGACTACTGGACGGATGCCTGGAAATTATGGATTTCATTTTAGCTCACGGCGACTGAGCTGACGTGTTCACATGTCAGTGTAAAAGGGATCTCGTTCTCCTGCTCTGCGCAATAATTAAATTAACAAATAACCTTAGAGAAATAGCTGAAGAAGTACTGAGTAGTACACAGAGTAGTTGTAGTAGTGGTAAATGTAATAGTTACAGTTGCTAGAGTAGAGTATGTGATAATCAAAATCAAAAGTTTGAATAATATATATAATAATAACCTATTATTGTTGTTGTTGTTATTATTATTATTATTATTAGTAGTAGTAGTAGTAGTAGTAGTAGTAGTTGTAGTAGTAGTAATAATAGTACAGTAATAGTATGATTGATTTTACCCCATGCACAGTTGACCACTCTACGTCAAGGACAATAATCTTGCGCCCTCTTGTGGTTCAAATTAATAATTAAAAATATTGTTCTTCATGCATTAATATTAATTTCACGCAACACAGTATTGACAAAATATAACGTTTTGGAACACTACACACAAACAAACACACACAGTGTAAACACAGAACAATTGAAGACGTTGATAACAATATTCAATAATAATAATCATGATTTTAATATTAATAGTAATAATATTAATAACAAGAAGCACAGTAGAAAGTCAGAAAAAAGATTGGACACTCAGTGAAAAGTGCCCTCACCTGGTTGGTCCATCCACCCACATCATCATCATCGTGGTACTTTCCTCTGCGGTTCAAATGAAACCTGAGCGTTCTAGTGGAAAAACAAAAACGTAAACAATTTTAGAAACAATATTCCTCTGCGGTTCAAATGAAACCTGAGTGTTCTAGTGGGGAAAAAAAACGTAAACAATTTTAGAAACAATGCAAAGACCTAGAGTGTAACCATGAAGCGCATCATTTCCTCTTCAGCTCAGGTTTCTGACAGAATATCAACGTAAGTTGTGTATCAACACGTCAAAAACACATTACTCTTTTCAGTGATTTAAAAAAATAAATAAATAAAAAATTTACAGTGCGTGACGTTGCTCTGTTTTAGCAATCACCTTTACTCCTGACCTCTCCTTGACCCCAAGTCTGCTTCAGAGAACGTAATGGCAGCAGATGATGTGAAGAGACATAAATGAAGTGACCTGAGTGACCGTCTCAACGTCATAAAATAGAGAGAGGAACGAAGGGTTATAAAAGTCCTTGCTGATAAAGAGTTAACTTTCAGTTTGATGCACAACTGTGTTGTAGTCTCATGACCTCTGTCATAACATTTTTTTTTAAAAATTCCCAAATGTGAATAAATTACTGAAATTTTGTGGTTTAAAAAAAATTACATAGAAATAATAATAAATAGCTTAAGTGTGAAGGTTGCATCTGGAATTTAGTTACTCAGAGGTGTAAACATACACAAAAGTATTATAATTAGATGATGAGGCAGATCAAGTTCCTGTAACTCAGTGACATGGCCTCATATCATTGTGTTGAGCGTGTCACACGAAGGAGACAAGGTGCAGCACACTGTCTCTCAGTGGTTTTTCTTTCGTTTTATGCAATGAACTATTTTCTCTCTGTATTTGTGGCGTCTGTGTGGTACAGAGACAGGCACGGTAGTACTGACTGGACGGAGAAAGCAGCAAACAGAGTGCTTTCTTCTAGTGTCTTTTAAAACACTGTTTCCCAAACACTGGGTCGTGACCCTCAAATTTCTTTTTTGGGTTGTCTCGCATCATGTTTCCCAGGAGTTTGCGAATAATGTCTAAGATATTTTTTACTGTATTCATCCCACACTGGGGAAATTCAGTTGTTACAGCAGCAGGATAGACATGCAGTACTAAAAGTAACGTAACAGCAGGGTAGACAGTATATACAGGGTGACAAGTGTCAAAATTTAAAGTGACCTGCAGGGAAAATAAAGTGACTAAGTTAGTAATGGACATAGGAACAAATACTACACTTGATCTTAGCCAAAAGGCCGAGAAGCCAAGTTTATTGACTTGGGTCGTGAAGATTTGTGACCTTTAAAATATGGGTACCCAGAAAAAAAGGTTTGAGAAACACTGTTTTAAAAGACCAGGTGACTCCAAGTACTAAAGTAAAACCTATGAATAAGATCCTGTTGACTTTTGCTATGACTTAAAGGTTTTGTGGTGACGCTGAAGAAATCTCAGCCAGTCCACATGGACAACAACCTCGTCATGTCATCTGTCCACTGGAAAATAAAACGTAGAATCGTTTAAAAACATGATTGCATTCTGTTTATCTTTTGGGAAACAAGTCTCTGCAATAAGGAAATTTCTGTGGCAGAACTTCACCAAACTCTTAACTTATTGTCTTAAAAGCCTTTATATTAAGACTTTACATTGGTTATAATAAATAGTTTTATTTAAATACTTTTTTTTCTCTTTTTTTCCACAGATGTAGACACCCATTAAATAAAACACCAAGTTTAAAACAGTTTAAAAAAACACCTTTGATGAAACGCCTTTGTTCCGTGTCCAAAACATTAACAACTAATCCTTGGCAGCTGTTGTTGTCACGTGTGAATTTATGTTCTTGTAACAAGCTGTGGGAAATAGAAGAGATAATATTTTTAGAAGTCACGTGACTTTAGGAGTACTCCTACTTCTGCCTTCACTGCACAGCTGCAAATGTTGCAAATGTTGTTGACCGTGGATGTTGACAGAGGAAGGAAACCTTGGTGTTTGAAATCTAATGTTCCATCAAACAACTGAAAAAGCTACACATACTGAGCTAATGGTGCAGGTTGAACACCGAGTGAAACAAACAAATCCTGGATGGACGGCGTCTGCTTCAGCATCTCTCTCTCTCATGGCAGTACGACTGCACCAGCGGTTCCCAAAGTGGGGGGCATGGCAAAGACAAAGGGTCTCAGTCGCACAGCTGCAGGGACAGAAATGTTTCTATGTTCCCTCCACCCCTTTGACCTACACCCCCGCAAATTAAAATAGTATTGAGAACCTGATAACATGTATATTATATATCTGTACAAACCACTGTATGAGTTGCTGCCACCTAGTGACTGGAGGCTTGTTATCATTCAAGCACTACAGCAGTGGTACACTGATGTCCAGTCTGTCACCCCCAGGACTATTTGAGAAGTACTGGCTTTAAGCCCCGGAAATGTGAGTGAATGATAGTAAATGAAATACTGACATTGCTTCAATATCAGTGCATTGCTAGTAAAAACTATTAGCTATTAAAGCAATTAATTAAAAGAAAAGACTTGGCTGCAGACAACACCTAGTCATAGGACCATGGGTAACTTTTTACTTGTGATTTTGCTGAAATATATCAAAAATGCTCTAATTTGATGAGAAAACGTGTAGAAAACATAGAATTTGGAAGTTTTCTTTTTCAAACATTTTCATGAAAGTTTTTCAACTTTTGACCCACATGACATGTGAAATTAGGAGTTTGCCGAAAAATTAAAAAAAAAACAATTTCATGAACATTTTGAACAGATTGATGGGAAAAATTGTCAGAATTGTATCTTTTTCTGCATAAGTAAAGTTAACTACGTACGTTTTATTGTATAAAACTACATTTTCTAACGCAGTAACTGTACGTTTATTATCTTTAAATAAACCTTTAAACACTGTGGTTTCAGCGCGAACGGAGTTCTTTCAAAAAATGTTGTCCTCACTGGGCAGAAATACAAACTGCACTCAGAGAACCGCACACACTCTGCCTGCAGATCACGTGACTTCGGGGAAGCCGCTTCGCCAAAGTGAAAGCAAAAAGTGTAATCTTCGGCGCGGTCACGTGGACACAGTTACGCGCACCAACAGGTTGGTCGGTTAGATTAGCATAAAAAAAAACACGGCAGGAGTGTTGTCTCCTCCTTTTCTTTCACCCAAACAAAACGAAAATAAAGCGTCTCTCATCAGTGACTGCCGCGTTTCAGAGCCGAGGACTGGAGCTCACAGCTGCTGGTAACAAGTAAGTCATCGGCAGTAATCCATTCATTCTAGATACTATGACATTTAAACCAGATGAATGCAGAAAGCAAACATTTCATTTTTTATGCTGTTTTTTCCCCTCTGTTTACGAAAACCCACACAAACGCTGCGGTTCAAACAAACTAGACGGATTATAATTGTGACCTGCCTTGTTATTATATCTAATGTCGGAAAGTATCTGCAGTGTTTATTTTTTCTGTTTTCTTTTCGTGTTCATTTGGTTGTATTATTTCAAAAGACCTTTTGCTCCTGTGGTTGTATTATTTCAAAAGACCTTTTGACCCCCCCCATCAGTGAAGTCAAACCTATTCATATACTGTATGTTGCTTTTTTATTTCAAGTTGAAGTCGAGCCTAAGTTAATCAAAGTGAAAGTGCATAAAAAGTGTCTTTTTATTTATGTTACATTATCACAGCACATTTTACCTCAAATGACGAAAGTTCACACAAATGCTAAATCTCTGCACCTCAATTTATTAACAAACTACAATATAAAACATTTATAAATACACAAATAGATGCGATACATAAACCAAGGGTTTTAAATGCCCAACATGCATTTTTAAAAATGTATTATCTCATGATTTGCTGTTTCACAAACTTTTTATTGTTATAATAATGACTATAACTCTATTCTTATATTTGATAATTTTAATAATAATAATGTTAAGATTAGATTTTACTTCTTTGAGTCATGTCCCAAGAAACTTCCTGAAAGTTTGCTACAAAACAAAAGTGTGACTCCGGAGCTGAGTGTCTGTCTGCGTACAAGATTAACTTTAATTGATGTTTTGTTCATCCAAAAAATAAATAAATAAAAATAATAAAAATTTTAATTTATAATTTGAAAATTTAAATACTTGAAAAAAAATTTAAGGTTTAAAAGTAAAATTTTTTTTTTTTTTTGAATTTCAGTTTTAATTTAATACATATTTGTTCAATGATATTTGTCAAATTTAAAAAATGCAACAGTTTTAATTTAGTTAGTTGTTATATAACTTTGACATCCAAGTACAACTGAAGTGCCTCAAAAATCAAGTTGAGCGCTGCTATCCTTAAAGCTTGTGTGTTAACCATGCCTGAATTTCCTGTGTAACTGAGAAAGTGAAAGTAGTGAAGTACCATCCCAAGTACTCACGCAATTATAGTAAACCAGTGGTTAAAGATAAGGTTTACTACTGCTGGGTGCTCCCTTTGTTATTCTGAGTTTGGTCCAACTCTTCGCTGTGTGTGTGGTAGTATGAATACATTTGCAAATGTTGTTACTAAAACGTGCAACAAATTGATTTTAACAAATGCTCCAGATCCTCAAGTTGCAACACTGCCACCTTCAGGATATATGTCATATTTTTTAAATGAACCATTTTTCAATTGACTACTTTCACTCCTTCATAACAACCCATAATGACCTGCTCTCTCCTTTAAAGTGGCGAATTTCTGATCTGCTCTTGGGAAGAATGTTTTAAAATACACGATAAATAAACACGCACTCTCTGTGGCGTCTTCTCTCTTAACAGATGAATTGATTGGTCCCTAATTAAAATCCCAGCCTGCTGCTCTCACAACATGGAGTCTCACAGAGGTCCGCAGAGAAAATAACAAACCGGCGAGGGGACGCAGGGATGGAGCATCTGCTGTCCAAAAGCGAAGGGACTGATGCAAGTGACGATGTAGAGGATGATTTTTCTTTGTAGGATGGTCAAAGACAACCTTGATAAAACAAAGCAACAGAGCCCAAAACAGAACCGCACAGCTGAGCCACAAAGTCAAGGTCAACACCGTGAACAACATGCAGCGACTGAACAGACAAGGTCAACACCGTGAACAACATGCAGGGACTGAACAGAACACGCACACAGTCAGAGCTGAGAGCCAAGAGCCGGCAGAGAGGCAGCTAGATTCACTGATCTGGATGAAACTTAGCTTAGAGGAGCAGGCTGAATCTTGGCACCAGGTGAGTACCAGGTGAACACAATAAGTCACTGTTTGTTTTTATTGTATGTTTTGAACAAAGGACCCACAGTATCAAAGGGATAAATTGTTTGTAACCAGGCCAGAGGCAAATTGTGGAAGGAATTTTGCCAACTTCCTGTTGTGATCTGATAATTGTCCATTATTTAGGTAACGTAAAGGATACTTTCAAAATAAAAAATGTAAACATTGAATTTGTTTAAAAATCACATTTGAAAAAAAAATTGAAACGTTAATTATGCAACCCCAAAACAAGGGCCAGCTTTGGCTCACGCCTAGTTCTAGGTACAATTACTTGTGCCGTTGTGTCAACTTTCTTTAGCTTGAAGGTACACGACTACAATAGACCTCTCCCTGGTTGGTGTCTTCTTGTTCTCTGTTTTGACTTGGAATATTATGTAAATAAGCTGTGTCCTATTGTTACGCTGGAGCAGTGTATGGTATTTTGCAATCAGAATACTTTCAGCAAAATTTTAAAAGGAAGTTGAGGTTTCACCAACATTTTTAATCACAAGGCAAACACAAAAGGCTCACTTCAATCAACATTAAACTATTTGTTTTCTGGTTTTGAAGTGATGCAGGCAAATGCATTTACATGTAGCTTTATTTCACTCTTTGTGTATTCAAATACTTGACTAAGAAAAGAGTGCTAGTTGCAGTTCTGTAAATTTACCTTTTTTTTTCTAAAGAATTCTGATTTTCTATCGTTTAAAATTGACCATAAATGCTTGATTAAAAATAAATCAAAGACACTCAAACCTTTACTGTAACAAAAAACTGTCTTATTTTTTAATAAGTAGCATATTCAAACCTTTACTGTAACAAAAAACTGTTTTTAATAAGTAGCATACTAGCATTCCGCATTAGCTTACGCTAATTCCGCCATTAAAAGTTCAAGCTTCATTTACTGCCAGTTGCTGTTGGTTGTCGTTCCAGGCTTTCATAATAATTTCTATTAGTTTGTTCATCAGACACAAGAAAGGTTTCACATGGAAGAGTCTCTCAAGAAAAATGTTTTATTCAGCACAGCTAGAACTCCCAGTGAGAACTGTCAGAGGCGCCTCGGTACACAGTACCAGGACCTGATCTCTGTGGATAACAAGTCCTTCAGCCACTGCTGCCTCTCTGCAGTCTCTACTTGTTCTCATAATAGTTCAAACTCTCTCTGCTGCAGTGGGTGACTAAAGGTGACAGTGACATACTGCCCACACACCTCCGTCCCTTCAGCAGCCCGGCTGAGTATGAACTGGTGAAAAGCACCCACCACCAGCTCCTCCACAGTGGGTACTACTGGGGACCCATGACCATGGAGGAAGCACACAGGATTCTCTCACACTCAGAAATAGGCACCTTCCTCATCAGGTACTGGAACTCTTCCATTCCGTCTTGCCTTTCCTGTACTGTGACTGAGATTAAGACGCTAAGATTTAAATGTAACTGTTGCACTCCTGTTCAAACTAGAGTTGAAAGTGAAAGTAATTTAAATACGTTGCTGTACTTTCGTTTTTATCTGAAAGTTTCTTTCTTTTTTCTTTGTTTCTTTGTAGTTACAAACGTTTTTTCTACTTTAGAGATATTTAAGAGGAAAAGTATAGGAAAATATTTGTAACTAAAGAAGGTGATTTCATATTTAATTATCCTAATGTAATAAAAATGACATTTTTTTAAATTATAGTCCCCAGTATACAATGAAAACGAGCTGTTTCCAGGACACGTCATGCTTCAGTCCTTCCTATTTTTCGTCCTTCTGGTAAATGTAAATGTGTTTATCAGAACTGGGACAAGAACCAGGGACAGGAACAGGCCTATAACTATAACATAAGTTGTGAACAAGGTCCACTGAGACAAGCGACTTGTTTATGAACACATTTTATACATTTACAGGCCTCTTATATCCTGCTTTCACTTCATTTATCTTTTTTATGACTATGTTTCTGGAATATTTATGGTTTTTTTTTAACCATAAATACTCCAGAAAATATTCAGAAAAAAAGTTATACTTACTGTGTGTTAACTCAAATAACATTAAGAATGTCACAAGGTGCAGATTGTCCCTAATGAAAACATAGACAAAAAGAAAAAATTACAAATTCCTACTGTGAGTAACATATGTTGGAAAACAGCCAGCAGGCGGTCGCTTGTAACTGATGTTAACAAGGACACGAAATGATCCCACTTCATATCAACATGACTGAGACGTAATGGTAACAAGTAAACTAGACAATGCAGCTCCATTTATAAATATATACTGTATATGTGCATATATATATTTATAAATCTATATATATATATTTATAAATCTATAATTATAAATCTATAAATCTAATATATGTATATGTTATATATATATATACATACATACATACAAATATGCATAAATACATATATAGCAGGGGTAGTGCTGGCTTAGTGGTTAGGGCAGCGGACTTCAGTTAACTTTCCTTTCCTTTCCTTTTCATATATGCCTTTCTATCTTCATAGGTACCAGCTGTCTAGTGTCCACGTGTATAATTTGCATGGCCCACTTTGCATGTTAAAAGTTAGCGGACACGCTCACATTGAACTTTTTGGCATTCTCTCCTTACAGAGACAGCTGTCAGCCTGACGTTCTCTTCACTCTCAGTTACCAAAGCGTGGACGGCGCGACCAGCGTCCGTGTCCACCTGGACAACCAACTCTTCAGGCTGCATGGGAGCCACAGGAATTTCCCATCACTCTTTACTTTACTCTCCTATTACACCTCCTCATCTTGCAAGCTGACTGTGCCCTATCGCCAGCAGCGTCCAGAGAGCCTGAAGCAACTGTGCAGGAGGGCTATCATTCGTACATATGGGCCAGAGAAAATAGACATCCTACCTGGACTGAGCAAAGAAATGACACGTTTTGTACACACGTACCCATACTGTATATAAAATTGAAATGTAGAATGTTTTTTGGTATATATAGTTTATTGCATGTCCTAACCACTATCCTTATGCTGCAGGGGTACCTTAGTGTTTTCTGAGAAATGTATTTGCAATATTTAAATGGTATATTTTGTTAGTTTTTTACATTTACATGTTGTTGAGTTTTATTAAGAGATGTGGTACAATGTTTAGAAGAAATGTCTGCAAAGAAAATGGCAAATGTTTCTATTAATTTATTTCTACATACAGTTGGTAGTCTGTAAATATTTTAATAAATATACACATAAACTTGAAAAAGTGGGATCTCAACTGTAACCATGTAGCTTTAGACCACGTTGAAGAAATGTTAACAGTTGAGTTTTATTTTTAAAGGTGTTTTTTTTTTTTTTTTTTTTTTACATGGCAGGATTTATTCTCTGCTCTGTTTTTTGGGGGCCTAAAGTGGACATTTCAGTATCTGTAGATGTATGACAAAACAGAAAAAAAATATATAATTTTTTTTCTATTGTATTTTTGTCCCTGGACTAAAGACAGTCACATTTAAATTAATATTTCCAGCTTTGTCTTGATCCAAATAAGACCCAGAAATAGTAACTGATCGTTTAGAATGATATATATGCATATATGTATATATATAGCTTTGGAAATTACAGTTGAATTTAGTTATGGTTCTAACTGTATATAAAAGTGACTTGGTGGTTAAGGAAGCAGACTTAGGTCCGGAAGACTTCAGGGTCCTCAGAGTCCACCAGCTGCCAAGTTACCACTGAGGTGCTCTGAGTAAGGCACCGTCCCCACACACTGCTTCCTGAGCGCTTAAAGCTGCCCACTGATCACTCTGGTGATGGGTTGAAAGCAGAGGTCACATTTGGTTGTGGTGTGCTGTGTCACAATGATGTCTGCTGAGTTTATTTATTTTGTGCTGCCAAAAAGTTTCATCCCAAATGTTTTCACTTTTCCCAGAAGAGTGAATGTCTAGCCGTGAGGGCATTGAACTGTTTTGTGTAATTAGGGATGTTTGTTTGATTTGTCAACTTGAACCAAACCTAACCAAACTGCCTCCACCGTTCACATTTGTCCTGAATTTATTTCTCTTTTTTCTCTCGCTGTCCAACAAGTGAATGGCAGCCCCTGTCACAGTTCAACTTTCTGTGGTAAAAATCCCATCATAATGAGTTGGAACAGACTTTTCATCATCATTTGGAGGAATTAACAAACCCACAAGTCAGACGTTCACCTTATGATAAGGAAAGGAAGGAAAGTGAACTCCTTGTCTTTGTGACACACCACTGCTCACAACCAAATGTGACCTCTGCTTTTAACCCATCACCAGAGTGAACAGTGGGCAGCTTTAAGCGCCTGGGGAGCAGTGAGTGGGGACGGTGCCTTACTCAGAGCACCTCAGTGGGAACTTGGCAGCTGGTGGACTCGAATCTGAAACCTTCTGGACCCAAGTCTGCTTCCAGCAGCAGCGTTGTCTTGTTCTGTGAAGAGAGGATGTGGTGTAAACCTCATTGTAAACATGACAGATGACAGTTTGTTTTCTCTCTCTCTCTCTCTCTCTCTCACACACACACACACACACACTCATGTTCTACATACTGTCCTAAATTTGACTGATAGTGGCCCCTTTCTTCAATTAGCCTTGCACCAGGGACACTGCGTGCTTGCAGACATGGACACACTCACACTCTCACACACACCTCTTTTTAATTTCTCAGATTCTGATTGTTGTTTTGATGTTGACTTTGTTTGTGGCAATTTTACTTTTCTGTTATATCCATCCAAGTCTCTCAGACTAGACTGGCACAATAAATTAAAAAAAAATTGAAATATAACAATTATTTTAATAATAGTTGAAAAAGTAAAAAATAATAATTCCAATCTCCATCCCTTTGATAAGTCTCTGAAGTCACAACCGTATGTTGCTGTCGACCTGTTAAATGCCCTGACTTATGTCTAAACGGGGTCAGAATGTCTCATAAAGACCGTTCTGGGCAACAACTGGTCCTCAGAGGTTGATGAAAACTAGAACACACACACACACAGTTCACATATAGGCATCTTTGATGGCATTATGTGAACGTGGGCCACTCTGACTTCAGCCGTTGTAATATTGTGGACAGACTCATGGACGTGATAAGAGATTAGAGGTCACTAATGCTGTCGCTCTGTCGTGTATTCACTGGGTAAATCCAGCTCAGTTGACAAGAGCCGTAACTGTTTTTTATATATATTTACAGATAGTATATATTATTATACTTCATTTTATTGAGACAAATATCATTCACACCCACATCCGTACCTATTATTAGTTCAAGAGTGTTCAATTTGTTGACTGTAAGAGAAATCCTGAGACCCATGTTATTTTTAATATTGTTCTTTATTTTAATATTACATTTAAATCCTTTATTCCTAATTTGTATCTGTTTTTTTTATAACAAACATGTAACTTTGTTAGTTTTTTGGAAATACTTGATTTGAAATAGTTTTCTGTTCATGAAAATAAACTTTTTTTTCACTCACATTGGCTAGTACTCAAATGAAAATAAACATACTGGTGTCAGTGTCTAAAAAATGGTATTGTACCAACATGGAAATATATATTTATATATGCCAGGCTATGACAAGACAAAACCACTGAAAGTGTTGATATCCTAATATTTGGTCCATATATTGTTTTGTTTGAGGTATTGTCACTAGACAAAAACTGTGTATTTGTTGAGTGTATTTTTTATTTTTGTCTTGAGACAGTGTTTTTCAGTGATTATATTTCACTGCAAATATTTACCTCAATACACTACTATGTGTCAGGGCACTCAAAATATAACTTCATAGCACCACCTACAGGGGAGGAACATTAGCAACAAGCATCAACAGCAACATAATACTACAGAGTACGTGACAAGAGTTCGTGTCCGTGGTTTGAGTGGGGAATGCTTCGTGTTAGCTGTGCTAATGAATATGGCAGTTTGTTGACAAGTAGGTCCAAACCATGTCTGTGTGCGCGCGCTCGGCTCTGTGTGTGCGTGTGTGCGTCCGCGGCGGCTCTCTCTTTTTTTAAAATCTCGTGAGATTTCAGCCGTGTGGATTTGACCCATCGTTCATACAGGAGGGCGCTCGAGCTCCACTGCTCTTATCCCGCACGGGGCGCACGTAGAAGCCGGTGAAACGGTCACGCGGAGTGAAGCTTCGGATCCGTGACGAGTGTTCATGCGCGGCCGGAGAGCATCCGGACGGGTAGGTTAGAAAGGACAGCGCGGCGCGGCGCGGTGATATTCGCAGGTGCGGTTGAGCCGGGTTAGGGCGGAGGCGGCAGAGGACTTATCGGCGCTGGACTGTTGGCCGGAGTATCCGAGCACCTCCATCACCTCTAACTCCAGCGCCTCAGCTCCAGCGGGAGGCCGGGAGCGGCAGCAGGATGTAGCGGCGGATTAACGGAGGAGAGAGGGGCGCTGAGAGAGGAAGAGAGAGGGGCAGCGGGAGGACTGCGGTGCTGGTGGTGGTGGTGGTGGTGGTGGGACAGAGGGGACATGGGGAAGGACCAGGAGTTGCTCCAGGCCGCGAAGACCGAGGACCTGCTGACAGCACAGCGGCTTTTACAGAGACCACGGCCGGGGAAAGCAAGTGAGAATCTATCCATCATTTTATCTCTCTCTCTCTCTCTCCCTCTCCCGCCCTCTCTCTCTCTCTCTCACACACACACCTTCAGCATCAGGACAGGACACCGCTTGCCCCATCTGATGGGATGGCGTTCAGTGCTAATTGTGCAGCGTATGTGTGTGTGTCTCTCTCTCTCTGTGTGTGTGTGTGTGTGTGTGTACCTGTTACTGATTTTTAAACACCAGTAGTCGCAGTGTGGGCTCCACGGTGGGGCAGCGGTTATTACTGATGCCCCACAACAAGAAGGTCACCAGTTCTGGCTGAGGGAACAACGGCCTTTCTGTGTGTTGTGCTGGTTTATACCTGTGTTTGTTTTCAGGAACTCTCATCGTTCCACAGATACAGGGTGTGTGACTATCACTGTGAGCTACAGCTGTGGGATGGACTGAAGCCCACTCCTGGTCAGATGTGGTCATCCCAGGCTGTAGTGTAGGGCGCATTGGTGTCACAGTAACTGGTTAGCATAGACAAAATAGGCAAGAGAAGAAACCAAGTGACAGAGTCAGCGCTCTCTGTCACTTTGTGTCTTTTTTTCTTACCCACTTATAGCCAAGGACACCAGATGGGAAGCAGATATTTCATGGTACAACAACTCCCACTCCTAAAAAAAACAAACACAGAAAACCACGTTAATGTAATGGCCCCCACTCCCACGTTTGAATCATGTAATATTGGCAGGTTTTCTTTTCTTTTTAATTTTATTTAGCTTCTGTTGTGCCAAATGTGAGCGGTCACATTTTCTCATTCCAGACAATAATCTCAAAAAAAAAAAAAGACACTATGAAAAGAAATAGGAATTTATTTGGATTGTGTGGAACTGTTGATCGCAGAAATATGTTGCTGTTCAGATGATCTGTCACTTTGTGTCTTCACGTAGTGAAAAATGACGTGTGTGTGTGTGTGTGTGTGTGTCAGCCATGTTAATCAAAATGTAGTTTTGTAAAAATTAGACCTGCTGGTCAGTATGAGAATTTTCTACAAGCTGTCATTTATATAAGTGTGTGTCATGAATGAACACAGGGGGTGAGTGTGTTTGAGAGAGAGAGAGAGAGAGAGAGAGAGGTTGAAGGTCCTACACCGCTCTCGGGACAGCGGGATTATTGGTGTGTAAAGATGCCAGATGTTGGTGGTAATAATGTGATGGCCGTGAGTCCACATGACACGTGCAGGGACGTACATGTGAGCACGCGTGTGGCGCTGGAGCTGATGTGTACGTGTGTACGTGTGTGCGTGCGCCTGCCTGACACAGAGTCAGCTGGGACTGGAGGTGATAATTAGATTTCAATTACAGCTTTGAAACTGCTCTCCTCCTCCTCCTCCATTTCACTACTGAGCCTCAGTCTATTTATTTCCTCCCTTCTCCTTCCCTCTCTCCTCTCCTCTCCTGTCCACTGATCTCCAGTCCTCTTGTTTCCTCCTCTCTCTCTCCTGTCGTGTATGGACACGTACTGAATATGAAACAAACTTGAATTTTATACCAGACAAATATCTATACATTAAAGACATTAAGTTGCCCTAAAAGATGTGGAAATTATGAATTAATGGATCATTAATAATCATATAATGTAATATATATATAAAAATATATTATTATTCAATGAAGTCTTGAAATCAAATGTCAGCATTTACATCACAGTGATGACTCACTGTTTATTCCCACACCTTCTAAAACACAGTTCTATTTATTTGTCTGGTTTTTTTTTTAAATCCAAATGATCGTAGAAGATAGTTCTAGCTAATCTAATTACTTAATTAATTAAGAACCCAAATCCTTCTTTCTTCACTGGTTTCTCATTGGTTGGCCACTGGGTGGCAGCAACAAAAAAAATCAGCAACAAAGTTAGGACTAAATTGTTTAGTAACCTCATAAAAATCTATCAAATCTAAATATTACATTTCTACGAGACACGTTGCAGTAGCGCCACCTAGGTCAATAGATACTTTAAGCTCCACAAACCCTTCGATTTCGTTTGTGGTCTGGTCATGCGCCTAATGTGTGTGGAATTGATTGTTAACACAGTGTCGGGCATTGTTCTACAGCAGATCTGAGTCCATCAGGAAGAGACAATATTGTGGCTGCTTTAATAGAGTGCTATAAGAGTACTCCTGGTCTAAGGAGTAACAAGGAGTAACACCAAGATGTAACAGACACCTGGAGCAGAAAACCCTTGCTGACTATTAGTGCATCCTGTAATATTGTTTTTTTTTCTTCTCCATTTTCTTCTCTCCTCATCTGGTCTTCTTCACTGAGTCCATCGCTCCTCTCCTCTCCTCGTCTCACTTCCTCTACTCCCCCTCCGTCCTCCCTTTCCTCAAGTGTGTCTCTGAATATTACAGCAATGCCATGAAAAAGAAAAGAAATGTTTTTTTGTGCAACGCCACAGCAGATCAGCCCCCAGCACTTAGTCCACTGCACACTGACAAAGAGAAAGAGTGGCGATCCTGTAATATTGTGAGGGAAGAGGAGTGAGGAGGAGGAGGAGGAGGAGGAGGAGAGTTGATAATGAAGGATAGAGGAGAAGTAGTGCACGAGGACAGGAGGAGAAACACCCGAGCTGTGAACGTGAGGACTGACGAGATGAGGAGAGTGAAAAGGGACACGAAGAGACTGAAGAAGGTTATAGGGCCAGAGCAGAAGCCGTGTGTGTGTGTGTGTGTGTCAGTGTGTTGGTGTGTGTCTGTGTGCGTTTGTGTGTCTTCGAAAGCAGGTTAAGGTTTGAATAATTGAACAGAAAGCCAGATTTCTCTGCTGGAGAACCATGGAAGTGCTACTTACACACACACACACATACAGTACGCACACACACACACACACTTTTGACACATCATGTGTTAGTCATGTGCTTGTCGCCTTCCAGTGTGTGTTATTAATAGTATGTTAATGTTGAAGCGGCAGCAGCAGCAGATTAAAACACAATCATTTTGCTGTTTCAATCAGAGATAAACAAAGTCTGTTAAACCAGGTAGAGACACCGTCAGGACCAGCAGTCGTTACAGGCTCAAATAAATGTCAATAATGTTCAATAACGACCGCGTCGTGTCGTAAATCATCCTCCAGCACGTGTAGATTAAAACAGTTACAGGGAGAAAAGAGTTGTTCTTCGGCTGCAGGCTGAGAGTAAACAAACGTTCACTGTTACGTGTTTTACATGTGCTGATAAATCAATGCATTTTTTTTTCATTTCTTATATTCATGTAAATCAGGCCTGGTCAAAAACAAATACAAGAAGTGAAATCCTCAAATTCCTAATTAGCCATGCAGCAAGGTCAACAAGTAACTCTTTCAAATGTTTTTTTTTATTCTCTTATTCTTTATTTTATTCCATCTGGTTTACTTTAAGTCGTGTGGAATGATTTTTTAATATTTTTTATATTCTGGTAAAAAAATAAACTTTCCATATTTTGTTATATTTTTGCATTTCTTAGCTTTTGACTATTGTATATATTGTCTACATTTTGAACTTTTAAACTTGGAAAATTTTTGAGAAACTTTTTTTAATGTTTTTTTTAAATGTTATATTATCCTTTTCCTTCTTACAGTTGCTGATATTGACATATTTAATTTCACCGATGGACAAAACTACTGCTAAGCTTTAACTGCTTAACACTGTTAATTCAAATAATGTGAACAGATTAAGAACAGTTTTTTTTTTTTAACATGCTGTGCGTTTATATTCTATTTGGTTCTTGAGTATCAGAGAAGGACATATTTGCCCCTGGGGAATCTGTGTATTTTCTTTCAATCTTGCCTACTTTCAAAAGTTAAGACTCCCTGATGTAACTGCTCTGTAACATCCATTCAACTCTTTGTAGGATCCATTTGCAACCAAATGTTGTACCGCTGCCTCACTGCATTCACTTCACTTCGCACATTTCCAAACTGTTTCGGAAACACAAACCTCAACAGAAGAATGTTGTCTTACAAAGTCACACGGGTGAGCGGGAAGTTCCCACAGAATTAAAAATAGGCTTTAACTCTTCTACTACACAGTATCCTGCATTAAGAACTGATTGTGATTCATAAGACAATGTGAACCAGCGCCTCGTCTGACCGTCCAGTGTCGCTGTTACCAGGCAGCACGAGGCGATGACTCACAGTGACAGAAACTCCCTTAGAAGGTGGAAGCTGGTCGTTGTATCTGATTACACTCATGTATGAAAATATCATAAGGGTCTGTTTTTGTCTGTACTTGTCAGTAACATTATTCCTACTTGTGAAATTTAAAAAAAGAAAATCATATTTAATGTACATTTTCCCTAGGTTGGAATAATGTGTGACTAATATAGTGACTAATAAAGTATTGAAGGTCTCCATGGTTGACAGTTAAACTGAAGCAATTACTAATCAAAAATGTTGACACCAAATAACTAAACTGACAGACAGGCACAGACAACACTGTGCAGCGTGATTAATTACAAAACATTTCTCCGGCGTCCGGCTTTTAATGATCAGTCAAAACAGAGACAGAGGGATTATTAGTTTTTGCCGTCACCATTAACCGAACAGTGAGCGCTCTGTAAATAAAACATCCTTCAAAAGTAAATGTGAAAATTGTCAACAAGTGAACAACACTTTAGACCTGACAGACACATTTAAACACATCCCAGGAACTGGCAGGGAGAGAAAATACTAAGAGAAAAAAAAAAAAAAAACGGAACCAAAATTCAGGAAGTAGGAACGCAGGACCAAGGACCTCAGGAACAACACAGGGAACATAGAACAATGAACCAACAAGGAAGGGAGTGAGACTAATGATCAGGGAGTCAGGGATCACATGTGAGAGTGATGACACCAATCAACCGTAGAGCACAGACAGACCTCGCAGAATGAGCACTAATGAAATGGTTCTTGTGCCGTAGTTAGACCCAGCATGTGTTAATATGTGTTTACACACTTCATTATGGCAGCTTGAAAGATGATGTGTCTTCTGGTTTCTGCTGCTTCTGGGAAACAGAGCTGGTAATGCAGTTCATTAAACAAGATGTACCTACAGTAAGAGCTGGATTTAATATTAATTAACAAGTTACAGCAACCAGGAGGAAGGAGGGGGTGTGGTGTGTGGTGCAGGTGTTTATTTGTTCATGTTTTCACAAATAGAATTAACATTTAAAGTATTTTTATTTACATTGTAAAATAACTACCCCAGACTTTATCTTTATCACTGGCTATTTTATATTTTATTATTTTATCTTATCATTATAAGGTGAGTTTTGTTTGAACCGTGTTCACTTTGGCTGGATGTGTATAGAAATATCTCCTAATGTAATATTGAAGTGTTTGATGAACCTGAACAACAGTCCTCCGTTGTTGTGTCTGGTATAGAAATATCTCCTAATGTAATATTTAAGTGTTTGATGAACCTGAAAAACATGTCTCTGATGATTTAGGCCATGCTACAGTGTTATAATTTGCTAATGCTAACGCTAAATGCTTCAAATTGTTCTTCAAAGTCCTCCATTGTTGTGTCTAAAGTGGGTTCTGCTGTGTTCCTTCTGGACTACTCCACTGATGACATTTGTCAGTGTCAGTGTTGTTTTTGTATGCACAGGAATATTGTTTTTCAGCTTGTTTGCTAACAACCGAGCAGCACAGATGGGCAAAGACAAAGAGTCGGAAATGGAGTCAAACTTTGAGCGCACACTGCAGGAACACACATGGCTTTGGCAGACAGTTTTCAACAATATTTAAGAATTCAATTTTTGGTCAGTTTTAACAGCCGGTTTCAACACATCCTTAAAGTTTAAATGTGAAGCAACAGCCCTGACTGTAACACATGTTCAGTGTGACTTACAGCAACAGCCATATGTTCATTCTAATTCCAGTCACACTCATTGTTTTGTTTCTCATTTCAACCCCCCTTCACTAGAATTGACATCAGTTTGTCTCTTTCACCAAAGATGAGGCAGGAGCAGAGGTCAGCAGAGTTCTTAGAATTCATCTTGATATTTCAAATTTTACTAAAGACTGTATCGGGCGTTGTGCAGACCACTTTTGAGTCCCTTTAACAGATGTCTAAAGTAAAGAAGATAAACATGTCAGTGCTGGCAACTCTAAATGGATGTTGAAAAATTGAAGTGAAAGGAAAATAAAATAAAATGAATGACTAAACGAATGATTGCCCGAGTGGAACAAAGTAATACTCCCCTGAAGGATGTCTATTTTTGACATCGGTGTGAAGAGATTGAAAGATGACTTTCACTTTAAAAAAACAACATTGGGTGGAGGAGGGGTTGGGGGGGGGATTCGGGGGTGATGGAAAATACTATCATATTTTTTTAATGCTGTGTGATTGACAGCTGGTGAGTCTGTGCCACATGGAGAGGTTGCCATGGCTACCCAGCACAGTTTCAGTGTGATGGCTTGAATTACCATAAAAAACATGAATGCCAGCCCAAGGACAGTATCACTGTGACATTATGGTGATTTCCTCAAATAAACAGGCTTTAGAAGAGCAACAAATATAAATAAAAGAATGAAATATGAAGCCTGGAATTAGTTGGAAATAACCTCAATATAAAGTCGGTGGATCTATCTGGGCCTGAATGACGGCTCGAAAACCAAAACAAATAAGTTAAGGTTCAGTTATTGTTATTAGCTCTGTTTATATATGTATATATGTTATATATATAAATAAGTTAGTCATCAATCAACATCAATATATTTAATAATAAATTAGTAAATATATAAATAAATAAATAAATATTTATAAAAATAATTTATACATATATTATACAAATAGTTTTATATATAAAATATATTTTATATATTTTTAGATATATTTATATTTTTATGTTATTTTTGGTCAGCAGAAAAGCTTTAAAAAATAATGTTATTATCCAGAATAGCTTAGCAGAAGAGAAAAGTTTTTTGAAAAGCCAGTGAAAAGCCATTTTCACTGGGGGGGGCGGGTGGGTATTGTGGTCTTCTTATTTGCTGCTGGGTTGGTTTGAGGCTCAGACGGCTTTGTGATAGTCGGGTGGTGACAAAGATATCAGCGCTCACTGGTTTATCTGCAGATACAGTAGGAGGAGTCCTTCTTTTTCCAGTACTAGACAGCAGGGTGGGAGGGGGGCCGACAGAGAAACACACACACACAAACACACACACATGCGGCATAATGATGTGTGTAAACAGTAAACAGCAGAACAATCAGCCAGTGCACACTCTTTTTCAAATTATTAGTGTGAGAGTAGAGTAAGAGGATGAAGTGTAGATGGAGCTGCAGAGCCAAAGAGAGGCTTTTCCTCAGATTATTATGGGACAACCGCAGATTAGGTTTGTGGATTATACGGTTTTAACTGAAAACAAAGGCAGAGAGGCAGACATGCTTTTCCTCCTTAGGTGTCTTTTAGTTAGTGTGTGTTCAACACAGTCACATTGATTATATGTCACGCTGATGGACAAATTTACTGGCTAAACCAGTGGGGTTTTTTTCACTGTATTTCATGTCTGAATGATGAATATTAAGAAATGAATAAAATTCTCCAAAAACAAAAAAGCATTTAACAAAAACACTTCAGGAAGTGAAGACTTTGACCCTGTTCATTTAGTATTTGATTCAACCATGACCCCACGCCGAATGTTGTAGAGTTCAGGATGACCTCAGTGGATTCTATTTCTGGGTCATGTTGTTTTTTAAATCCTGGTGTTTTTGTAATATTTCTTGTTATGATCATTGATTTGGTTTATTCCTAATGATCTTGTGTGATTCTTTTTTGGTCTTTTGATCTCACTTCCTCATTTTCTCTGTGTTTCAGAGCTCCTCGGAGCTGCAAAGAGAGTCAATGTCAACATCCAGGACGCAGATGGGTGAGACCTTCTCAATATTTGATATGACCACATTCAGTCTGTCAGTCAGAGGAGCAGGAATTTAAAGGCTGCTCTTTGTTACTGCATAACAGTGACCACAATGATGATGATGATGATGGTGGTGTTTATTATTATTGGTGTTATATATATATATAAAAGATAATTAAAAAGTAAAAACTTTATTAATATCATTATGAAGCGTTGTGGGCATTAAATCATGTGTTTTGGGGTAAATGATTATGGTTGATTTGACTCCATCATATAACAAAGTTTTTTTTATTTGTGCTGATTGAATTGACAGAATTATTTCCGTGAGTGTTGATTGGTCGATGTGACTCTTGGGTCTAGCTCTTACATTCACAAGGGATCCATTAGGAATACACACACACACACACTTGGCTGAGGGGTAAAAGAGACAGCTTATTAATGGAAGTAGGTCATTTGCCCCCCCCGCCCCCCCAACATCACTTACACGCAGAGCTGAGGGAAGGAGCTGCTCTATGTTGGTAACTCTTTCAGAAAGCTTCCGTGGTTTTAAGTTATTCATTTGAAAATTGACATTTCCTGCATAAACACGTGTTTTCTTGTGAAGGTTGTCGCCGCTGCACCATGCTGCTCTGAGTGGCAACAAGGAGCTGATCGCTCTGCTGCTGGAGGCCCAGGCCGCGGTGGATATTAAAGATAACAAAGGTAAAGAAATAAACAGACTTCCAGATTTCAGCCGCTTCTCTGGTTGAGTGTTTTGGCTGTGCATCTGCAGAACTGTCACAAAAAAAAAAGATGAAAAAAAATATTGTACACGACCATCAATACCACGGAGGAAAAGCACTAAAAAAATCTTTCTTTTTACAGTGTTTAATAAAAATGTCAGATTTGTGTGCCGGGCAAACAAACAACCAACAACGCGAGAATCATGTTTTATGTCAACGAGACAATAAACAAGACCAAGAGTCAAGTGGGAGTGGAGCAGCGGTTCGTTCACCAGACAAATAGAGTTTCTCCAGCATTTCAACACTGGCAGATTACAGAGGGAAAAAAATCACAGGGCAGATGGGAGATCTGATCTCTTCATGATGTAATACTCACTCTCTCACTCTCTCTCTCTTTCTCTCTACACTCAGACCAATGGATGCCTGGTCTAAATATAGGCATACACCTGGCAGATAACTGTACCAGGTCCATGGACCCCAGATCATTAATTCAGTATCTGACCGGGGTTCATGGGAAACGTTGATGTTTCTTGTAATCATACACCATAGTTCAATGTGACACTCACACACTCACACACACACACACACCTCAGGTTACTTAATGCATAGGTCAGAAAATTAAATTAAATTGTCAAGAGGGAAAATGAGATGACAGTAATTATCCAACATGATGGCGCTTGTTTGTGTGTGATATACATCAGGAAAATGAGGAATTCCAGCAGCGTCCTCGTTATAATAATGGCACAAGAATTGGACAAATATGACTCATCATCTTTAAATGGCTTTAAAACAGTTGGACACAGTCAAGTTTGTAAAGCACCGGATTTAGAAAAACACATTTTTGCCTCAGTTGACTTAACTTTTTTTTATTATATCATATGGTGTAATTATATCATGTAGCATAAAAATGATTTTGCAAACTGTGAGTCACAGCCTGAAGGTACAACATGTCACGTTGTACTTTAGGTGCTTTCACACTGACTTCTTTTCAAGAACCAGTCCATTATTTTTATTAGACAGTGTGAAACTGAGCTCTGCTCCACAGAGGCGAACTCTCCTTCTGGTCATTTTATAGACAGAGACCGTTCAGCGCCCAAATTCTATTATCGTTCTTCCACTGCTCTCATTTACATAGTTTCCATTCACAACCAGACGATTTCTAGGTCGGCAGCAGAACCCGGTCTTTTTCATCATTTGTGCTCACACAGAAGCCTCTACTATTGTTTGTTCTCTGCACATTTTGACCGAGTTTAAACTGTCAATTACTCTGACATCCTGGAGTTATTTAATGACTTCTTTGAGAGAATTCCCCTTCCTCGTCTGTCGGTTGACTAACGTGTATCATAAAGACTTTTTAAACTGAGCTTTTGACAATAATTATACACACAACCCCTCCGTAAATTATCAACAGACCGTGGGAACAGCTTGTTTTTCTGGACTTTCTGCAAGTCATTCTGTCCAAGAGCACTTCTAAACAGGAAAAGAAAAAAAAATCCTCAGAGACAGATCACATGCTGGCAACGTGGCGTAGGGTTTTTCCAAGGAAAGATGAATAACGTCTGTTAACCTTTTCGTGGCCAGTGCGGCCCTGCCCACAATAATACAGGACATATGATTTGCATGATACAGTGAAAGCTGCAGATGTTCAGGAAGTGCATTGTTCTCTACATGCCACCAAACATTTCTAGGAAGTGTTCGGTTTCTCCACCGTCGTACACTGAAGCCTTGTACATGTCTCCACTCCTGCAGCTGCTGTCTCCACTCTCACTACTGACACAGTCTCCTTTGTGAGTCAGGAGCCGTCATTTATATCGTCTGCATTTCCTCCATCACTGGGATCCAAATTGAGAAACTTGTTTATATGTTTATTAAAATAACACATTAAATACCCTATCTAAGTTGAAGACGTGTGCAAAAAAAACAAACAAAACACAATAATTGTGAACTTGGTTCATTTTTTTACATTTGACAGTTGTGATGGATTTGATTTGAATAGTTGTTCCACAGCTAATAAATTTTTTTTTTAAAGTGTCATTTGTAGACTGTGGTGAACTAGTGATCACTGATTTGAATAGTTGTTCCACAGCTAATTATATATTTTTTTAAAGTGTCATTTGTAGACTGGTGAATTAGTGATGACTAAAGTGTGTGTGTGTGTGTGTGTAGGAATGCGACCTCTGCATTATGCTGCGTGGCAGGGGAAGACTGAACCAATGAAAATGCTGCTGAAGTCTGGATCATCAGTCAACGGCCCATCAGACGAGGGTCAGATCCCACTGCATCTGTCGGCTCAGCACGGACACTATGACGGGGTAAATTCATAGCGCGGTTTGTACAGATAAAAATATACGTTATCAGGTTCTCAAAGGAATTTCAATTGCTGCATAAAACGTTTGGGAAACACTGGGTTAGGAGAAGGGTATTGGAAATACAATATGTCTTTGTAAAGTGTGTGTGTGATGAGGTGTGTAATTGTGAGGTGTTTTGTGTTCGTGTTCTGTTCAGTCAGAGATGCTGCTGCAGCACCAGTCCAACCCGTGCATCTCCGACTCAGCTGGAAAAACACCGCTGGACCTGGCCTGTGAGTTTGGACGAGTCGGAGTAAGTACAGTTAAGACTTTAATCTTATTTACATATTCAATGATGTGTGTTTATTTACAGGATTTACAGAGAGAAAGGTGCGGATTAGGTCGGTCTAACACTTAATCGCAGGTATAAATGTGAATGTGACTGGACCAGTCTATGGTTACACCCAGGGTGTGCCACGCCCTGCCCCGCCCTCGTCTTTACACCAACCAGAATGAGGATAAAACTGTAGGAGAAATGAAGAAATGAATTAATACCATTTTATACCATACAATTTACTCTTCTTTTGCTGTAAATGTAAATGTTTTATACAGATAATAATATATAAATATTGGTCCAGTGATTTGTTGTAACACATTTTATATAACACAAAAATATAAAACAATGAAAAGCAGTAAAGCTGGACTTTTCTATTTAATTCCAGAATGAGAATTGAACCACTAGGGGGCCGACTCATAGTGGCCAAAAAGTCTCTCACCAAACGTAACATAACGTAACAAAGGCAAATAAAGTGGAACCGATGGGTTGGATTGATTGATTTAACCACCACATTTTTACGAGTCCATGTTTGTATTTCTGTCAACCAGGTGGTCCAGCTCCTGCTCAGCAGTAACATGTGTGCCGCCATGATAGAACCCAGACCCTCCGACCCCAACGGAGTGTCACCTCTGCATCTGGCTGCCAAAAACGGACACATCGAAGTCATACGGTGCGGAACACTCTGTTCTTCTCAGTGGCTTCTACACACATATTTCTGCTCTGAATTCTTTTTTTTTTTTGTCGTACACTATGTTACACTTGAGTCTTTCTAGAAGCTCAGATTTTCGAGGGCTGTGATCAGACCGGGATTAGAAAAACAGCAACTCAGAGGATCAGCTAAGGTTGAGAGATTTGGAGATAGAGGGTTGAGATGATAAGAGCACCACAGAGAGTGGATATACTGGACAGAAGATGTTGGAGATGGAGCTGCCAGGCTGGGACAGAAAGGATAAGATCCAGAGGGGAGTTATGGATGTAGTAGAGAAAGGCCGAAGTCATAGAAAAAGAAAAAATGAACTCAGAATCACTGTTTGATGATTGAAAATATTACTTTTTTAAATGATTGTGACCGACTCTATTTTCTGAATATCTGTGTTTGCAGGTTACTAATCCAGGCTGGTATTGACATAAACAGACAGTCTGAGTCTGGCACAGCGCTACATCAGGCCGCCCTCTGTGGGAAGACAGAGGTAGTACGTCTGCTGCTGGATGTGAGTGTGTCTCACTGATTGTGTCTCGTGTTTAGCAACTGTTGCCTTAGCCAGCATTTTATGTTCAAGCTGGTTATATGTTTAAGCACATCTCTTATGATTATTTATTCTATTATAAAACATGATTATATATGTTGCATACTTCTATAAAATACGAACACATGAATACATTTCATCCACAAGGTCTACACCTTCCTCTTTCTGAGCTGCGCTCCAAAGTCTGCACTTGTTACAAAAAAAAAACCCCATTGTGGTTGTCTGGATATGACCGGATATGATTGGATATGACCGGATATGTCTGGATATGACCGGACTTGACGGGACACGTCATGTTCTGAGCAGCTCAGTGTTTTATTTGAGTCCCTTTGTAAGTGTCAGATAAATAAGGCGGCTGATGCTGAATCTGCTGCTAAACAGCTTAGTTTCCCAGCCTCCTGTGCTGCAGTATTTCCATCCTGATGCCGCTGCTGAAGCAGCAGAACAGATGTTAGCAGCGGGCGGCAGACACACAGCCGGACACTGACACTGATTCATGGGGGGGATTATCAAAGAGGTCCAGCACAGACTCAGGGCCCATGGACCAGAACCCCAGTGAGAAGTGACTGTTAATATTTTTTTTATTCTGTCATGGTGTTGGACAAAGTCGAGATTAAGACGACGAAAATGGAAACTGAAACCAAGAGACTGAAACCAACCTCAGAGTAAAACGATTCCATGTGAAGCAGACATTAAACAACCACATTACTTTTAAGCAGGACTGTTAAAATTAAACAGATATAAATAAACTTTCAACATAATTTTAATGAAACCACTTATACAATGTACATGGGTATATATATATCTATAAAATAGTTCTTTAGTTTTGAGAGCTTATTCATGAATAATCATGATTAATTACAATAATATATTTTTAAGTGATTAGTCAGAAATTTTAATCATGATTTATAATCAAACTAAATTAGGTCTTTCATCTCCTGTGCCGAGGCCTGTGTGTCACATACGCCCCCTATGCTCCGTACAGTGTATCACTCTATCACATAGTAAGTGTGACGTGACCTTTCCTCCTTGACTTTCTTCTCTTGTCCACCTGTGTCCAGAGTGGCATCAGTGCTGGGGTGAGGAACACGCTGAGTCAGACGGCCCTGGACATCGTTAACCAGTTTACCACCACCCAGGCCAGCAGGGAGATCAAACAGCTGCTCAGAGGTCATTTTACACACATACACACACACACACACACACATGCACATGACATTCACAGGGCTGTGGCTAAATACATTTTTATATCATTAATATTGAAAAAAAAAAGCCTGAATATTCATATTATTCTTCTACACATGTTAAAATATTGGACAGTTCTTTCTGGCACTGGTGAAAAAAAACACCAAATAGGATCAGGATCAAATGTGAATCTTCCTGCTTCTCCTCTCTGCAGTCTTGGATTTCCACCTTATTTCTGCTCCTAAAATTCTCTCAGCTGTATCCTTTTCCTCTGCTTGTTTTCTTCTCTTGTCGCACTTTTTTCCTGTAGATGCTTCAGCTGCAATGCAAGTGCGGGCACTGAAGGATTATTGCAACAACTATGACTTAACCAGCCTCAACATCAAAGCTGGAGACATTATCACGGTACCTTAACCTATCACCAAGTCAAAGAAGAGCCTGTCACTTCATGTCCCCATGTAGATAAATATGCAGTGAACACAGTTGAGAGGGATTTTTTTTGTTTTTTTAGTGAGGCGTTCACTGACTTCCTGTCACAATCTCTGGTACAGTTCATACCTGATGGTTATTTTCAAAGACTTCTGTCTTTATTGTATTGAAGTGTGTTTGTTACAAATCTATGAATTAATCACTTGGTAAAATTCTATTTAAAGCCACAGGCTACGGTAATTACCGCCCCGCGCTCAGTGAAGTCGGTCTGACCTACAGTAAGCCAGGTGACTGACCTGAAGGTGAAGTCGTGAGGATGGTAGTCGAGATGCTATTTTAAGCTCAGGATGCTGAGGTGGAGCTAACACTCAACGTGTGTGTGGAGTGGAAGGACCTTGGAATTACTGGATATACAGTGTTAAAATCCATTCAAATCTTAATCAGATTAATATTCATTAAATGTTAACGAATGTGTTAATACATTGTTTCCCAAAGACTGGGTCGCGACCCTCAGGTGGGTCGCTAGAGTTTTTTTTTTGGGTCGTCTCGCTTCATGTTTCCCAAGAGTTTCTTAATAATGTCTATTAACTTGGGTCACGATGGTTTGTGACTTTTAAAACATGAATTGAAAAAATAATTAATACACACATCCTGTGATACTCTGTCCTTCTGAAAACCTTTTACTATCACTGATGATTTCCTGCCTTTCTGAGCCAACATTTGCTGCTGTGTCTGTGTTAGCTTTGTCCGTCTCATCGAATCACCGTCGCTACATAACAGTGATGTTTCTTTATTTCTTACTGTCCTGTACAGATGCCTGCTTCACGTGACTCTGAGCTCTGCTGGTGTTTGTCTGCAGGTTTTAGAGCAGCACTCTGACGGTCGATGGAAGGGCTGCATCCACGACAACCGCACTGGAAATGACCGCGTGGGCTACTTTCCCTCCAACATAGGGGAAGTGATCAAGAGGGCAGGTGACCACCCACAGCTGGGCTTTGTGTGTGTTAGTGGTGGAGGAGAGTGTGTGTGTGTGTGTGTGTGTGTGTGTGCTTCTGCTTTAGTGCCAGTTGAGCAGCTGCTCTGCAGTTAAAGCTGATCATTAGTCGTAGATAGTCGGAGCATCACTGGCGTCTTTGCAGCCCATCTGTTCTCCCAAACTCTCATCTTCATCTTCTCCATCGGTCAAACGCTCCCTGACTGCTGACTGCTGACCCTCCTCCTGTCTCCTTTCACAGTTCTGCTCCCTCTGACTGCTGACCCTCCCACCTGAATAAACCCCACTGCCCCTCATGCTGTCTTCACAGTGTTTGCTTTCCTGCTTTTTGATTGATATTTTCATTTATAGATATATATTTTGATGTATTTTTCATTTATAAACATTATTATTTTGACTAATTATTTTTTATGATTATTTTAAGATTTGATTAGATTTGTTTTCTTTCAACTTGACTGATCAGTTGTTGTTGTTGTTGTTGTTGTCGTCGTTGTTTTTGCACCCGCCCCCCCCTCCACCCACTCCTGGCTCACGTCCAGGCCACTCCCCCTCCCAGCAGTGCCACACCCTCCTGCTCCGCAGGCCCAACCCTTGCCCCATTGCATCGGTCAATGGGCACCCACACCCCCCCACCAAAGTCCTCCCCCTGCATCTGCCTTCTCCGCCTCCCCCTCACCCCAACGCACAGTCCCTCCCTCCTTTTTCCTCCTTCGGGTACGTTCCTGTTCCCATTTCTCCTCCGTCTCTGTCCACTCCTCGACTGTCCATTCCTCTTCCGCCCCCTCTTCCTCTCTCCTCTTCTCAGGAGCGGCAGAGTCAGACAGGTACATACTGTAGCACCACTGTGGATCACAGATAAGCATCATTTTCTACTCTGTTTGACCAGACCTCATAGACAACAGTTAAGTTCACACTCAGTGGTTCACAGCAGAGGTGTGGGTTGGTGTTGAAGCTGTAGCCACCTTTGATTGCACACAGGATTTACCGAGGTGAGATGTTCGGGTGTGTTTCTGTGAGATACCTGCAGCAGTGTGCAGCGCCCAACGCGTCTGAGACGGATTTATACTGAGAAATGAAGCATTACTATAAAATAAGAACCTTGTTCAAAGTTAAGTTATCTTTATATTTAAATGTTAACCACTCTGCGTCTGGCACTGTTTACAACAGCGGCGTCGAACATACGGCCCGGGGGCCAAAACCGGCCCGCTAGGCAGTTCAATCCGGCCATCTGATATACTTGTACTTGTTAGGAGGAAAACAAAGAGTTCATGAAATGAAAATGACTTTGACACCCCTGATTAACAACAAACCACTGGCGCCTCCTGTGGTCACCTGTGTCGGTTGCAAAGACTCACAGACAAATAAGGGACTCAATTATTATCATTAGTATTAATTGTATTTAAATTAAATATATTCTCGTCATGTCCCCTGTTAGTTGAAGCTCTAATTAACAAATTAATTGAAAATTCAACTTTTACTGCCTTTTCTTAATATTAGAGAGAACGACAATGTAGTAATATGTACACACTGTCTTTCTGTTCAAACACATACTTGGTTTGTAGTTGGCTGTGTCCGGAGCATTTGATTGGTCTGTATTTTCTGGGATGCATCCAACTGGACTTTTCATGCCTGTGAGCCTAATTGCTGGGACTAGTTGCCGACCACTGAGTCTAACGGCGCTCAGCGTTAGGCCGGTCCTGAGAATGATGTCGTTGGGCACGTGCCTGGCAGAGTCAGTGTCAACTCTGAGTCAGTACCTCATACAGACACACTTGAACAGTTCTGATCTACTGTAGTGTTCCTGTGTGGTTGGAAAATCAGTTCACTCAAATGGAGAAAACTGTGTTGGCAACTTTCAGAAATGTATTATTTTATATTTCATAAAAAAAACAATAATAGAAAGGAAACCATGTGATAACTGGAATTTACCAGCATTTTCTTTATAAAGTAAAAAAATCAAATCACCTCTGCTGTTTACTGGGATCTGTGTGAACGTGAACTTCAACAAAAGATATTAAAGCACAGTTAAGTTATTTAAAGACTGTCTAAGTTTAGAGCAGTAATGAAACAAATTGCATTTAATGCCAATATTATTTATATGGACCCCCCACCATGTAGACTGGAGAGCGATCAAACCACACCTCGAAAATGAAATAATTGCAGAGCGATCAAACCACACCTCGAAAATGTATGAATTGCAAAACCCACAAGGCAAAAAAAAAAAAAATTAACATCAAATATTCTTTGAAGTAATTTGAATATTTTTTTATATTCAAATGTACACAATTTGGCCAAGGTTAATTCTGGAGAATATTCTGTACCAGATTTGTTCTTGATTTACATTAGATTATTGTATTGACAGCCCTAGTTGTTGTAGATTAAATTAAAGGGATTTGTTCTATTGATATAATGCAATATATTTCATTTCATCTTTTGTTCGTCTATATTTATGTTTTATAATATTTAACAGTAGAAACGTATTGTATTATTATTTGATCCTCATGAGGATGTGTGGTTTAGTCACAGTCCTTTATCATCACTATCATCACCATTAGGAGTCAGGTCATGTTGGATAACGTTGGGTGACAACATGGTGTTCATCATCGGTTAACATATAACATACAGTATAAAAATAAGGTATTTGTTTGAATGCAAAATTTACTTTTCGACAGCACCGGTGAGGACATCGGGGTTCTACGCAAACCACTGGCAGGTGAAAAAAAAAACATCTTTTGTGTCAGTTTTTAAAAAATCAAGAGGAAAGTGATAGTCGTCGTTATATCCTGTGTGTGTGTGTGTGTGTGTGAAGGTGGTGATCGCAGTGGCAGTGTGGGCAGTCTGGGCAGTGCTCGGTCATCCAGCAGCCTGCACAGCTCTGGAAACACACATGTTCTGACCACCCCGGCCCCGAGTCCACAGCCCGCGCCCACACCAGGGGTCAACACACACGGCCTTAACGCCCCGGGCCTCCACGCTCAGTCGGAAGGAGTGAAGGTGAGAAATAAAGTAGTCAAAGTAGACACCAGAATGTAAAATTATTCCTGGAGTTGTCAGCCTCTCCACCTCTTCAGTATCAACAGATAAAACACTATCTAGAGTTGAATGATAATTTCAGCTAAAGTACTACTTGTAGTGAAGTGTTTTCTTTCAGGATGTATTTGTGTTTTTTGTAAAGGAAGGTCACAAGCCAAAGTTTGTGTTGCATCTGCTCTGAGCTGAGTCACTTCATTGCTTTTCAAATCATTTTTGCTTGACTAAATATGAGTGCGCCTCTTCTCTGAGTGTTCATGAGAGTGAGGTCTTTCCTTTTTTCTTGTGTATTTTCTGTGTTCTAGCTTCTGGCCACTGTTCTTTCCCAGTCAGTTAAAGCCAAGGAACATCTCCTGGAGCAGTCACAGTCTGTTGAGCAGTCAGCAAGTAAGAACGCCCATGTCTCCTAAAAGCAACAACTACAGAGATGCATTGTTTTTGAATTGATGTGAGGACCTTGTTATTATTCAGATTAAAATAGAGAGATGTTTTGGTGAATCTTTATACGTATTTATATAGAAGGTTACCGTAAAAAAGAACTGTCAGAGGTTTAAAAACAACCAGAAAAGGATAGAGATAGTGTTAAAATACTGTCCTGCAGCATCAGGTCTGTCTATTTTTGAACATAAATATAAAACAGGATTAAGGTTTCTTCTGTTAACTGTCTAAAATGTAGGTAGATTTTTATTGTTTCATTGTTATGCCTGTTTCACCAAAGGTTCCTCTGGTTGCACCGTTCTGGAACCACGGCCATTTGAGAAGAAGGCAGAGGAGGATGATGGGAAAGTGAGTTTTTTTGTTTGTTTTTTTGTCACAAAGGTTTGTAACATTTAAAATACGAGATCCCAGAAGAAAAGTTTGGGAAACACTGGTCTAGAGGAATAAACTGACAATAGTTGTTTTTTACTCTGCGGTTCAGAAGCAGGCGGTGGTGGCGTGGCTGGGCGACTTTCAGCTGCAGTTCTACACCACCCACTTCCTCACCGCGGGATACGACCTAGACACCATCAGCTGCATGACCCCAGAGGTAAGAGTAAGAGTCTTTAGAATTTATGTCATCTCATATATATAAGATATATAAGTATATATATATATATATATATATATCTAAAGAAAATCAATCATGTTAAATCTCTGATTTCACCAACTCTGCTCTGCCCTGAAGGACCTGACTGCTATTGGGGTCATGAAGCCTGGACATAGAAAAAAGCTAATGACAGAGGTCAGCAGGATCCACTCCACAGCCTGGCTTTCGGATTCCAAGCCAGTGAGTTATTTGTTAACGAACCATGGTGATTAAATAAAGGTCTCATGGAGTCCGTGCCTAAGCTTTGTACACTGTGTTCTTTTCTCGTTATCGTTTGGCTGTTCAGGCAAACCTGGCTGACTGGCTGTCTCACCTGGGTCTTAGTCAGTACTACCAGGTTCTGATGCTAAATGGTTATGAAAACATGGACTTCATCTCCGACATCAGCCTGGAGGACCTCCAGGAGATTGGCATCACAAAGCTGGGTTAGTCATATCTGTTTTACACAGAATTTTTCAAATATGGATCTAAAGAAACTACAACCCTTCCACCCACTTTTAAACCTGATTCACACTGTGCTGAATAAAAAAGTAGTAACAACACAAAGAAAACTGTGTTTTTGAGTGCTTAAAAGATAAAACAAATTGAAAGTGAAGAGTTCACACATATTGGACAACCCCCCGAAGCTGTGATTATATACTCACTCGCTCAGAAACACAGTGCAGTGTTTCTCAGTGGGTGGAGCAGTCGTCTTTCATCCGCAGTCTGATTCCAGACTCTGATAGTCGACGTGCCAACCCCCTGCCTGCTTTGCCATCTGAAGTTAGACGGTGAACTTAGAAATTGCTTTTAGATGCTATCGGGTCTAGAAAAAGTTCTATGTGAATGGAGAAAATGTTGTAGAAACAGTGGGAAAGAGAGAGAGAGAGAGAGAGGGGGAGAAGTGGAGTGGATGACAGTGATTCAGTGGAATGGATAATCACTTTGTCATACGGAACGAAAACAAGATAGAAGTCACAAGAAAAACCTTGTCCTCTTTCTTATTTTATAAATGTAAACACACAAGCCCTGTTTCTTGGTACATTACTCTCTAGAATACATTTGTGAAGTCAAATGAACGACGTTTTCTTTTCTATCTTTGAAGTTCAACCGCTCCCTCTGCACCGTAATTGTAATTCAACTCTTCCCTTTTATCACTGTTCTCCCCTCAGGCCATCAGAAGAAGCTCATGTTGGGAGTTAAAAGGCTTAAAGAACTACAAAAAGGGGGGAGTGATTCTGAGCCTCCTCTGAGCTCCTCCACACCTCCGTCGAGTCCCGGAGGAAGCAACAACTCTGAGCCTAAAAGAGAGACAAAGAAGCAGAGGGACGGTGCCCCCAGTCCTCTGGCCAGACCTCGACCAGCTCTCTTACATTCACAGACCTCTCCACAATCTCCAACCCACACCACCGCTCATGCCCGGACCCAGGAGCCCTCCCCCAGGGCTCGCCCTCGCTCTTCCACTCAGGTGGTGGCGACCAAAGAAAAGTGTGTCCCACTTCTTCAGTTGCCCAGCGAGGAGGAAGAGCGACGGAGAACCCACAGTCTCACTGGCACAGAGTCAGACTCCAAATATGCCACCGTGTGCCGCAGCAGCTCTGCACTTAATGCCGTCCCCAATGATGTCACCGTCAACCGCAGCCAATCATCTGTTACCTTGCGTCCCCGTCGTAAAGGGCGACCCCCGACCCCACCAAAACGATCCTGTTCTTCAATTACTGGAGGTGAAGGGGAGGGAGAGGCTCAGGCTGACGGACTTCTCGGACTTCCAACCTTTAGAGAGCGACGGGCCAGTGACTGCGGAAGTCTGGGATCGGCTTTACGAGCTAAGGAGTCGTCCGGCTTGGAGAGATCGGAGGGGGCTTCTGGGAGTGTACGTAGTCTCGCTGCATTTCTGGAAACCTCTATGGGTGGAGCTAAAACTCTGCCGAAAAACCTGGGGAACAGTACCAACTACTTACAGGTAGGGGTCACTGCGTTGTGTTGTGTAGTGGTGTCTTCTGCAGCAATCTTCTGATTCACTTGTTTTTTAATTAATTAATTAATTAATAATAGTAATAATAATTAATTTTGACATATGTTATCAAAACATTTTTTTATTGGAGGGTCCAGACAGTCGTTGGTGTATTTTCTTTAAGTTCAGTTTGTCAGTACACAATAAAAAGTTGTTGTCCCAAAGGTTTTTAAAAATATATTTAGAGACATATTTTTTTGCCACAAACAACAATTTTCTTCTGTCAAATGACCAAACAGTGTCCAGACACTGAAGTCATTTTTAATAGTTCTGCCACTTTCAGAAGTTACTGGTGCATTACAGTAACCTCGAGAAAGAAAACAAAATCTCAGTTTGTACATGGAGACATAGTTTGAACTAACTGAACAAAAAAAGGACTTAATTTTCAAACACCCTCTAAAATAGAGTTGTCAACTATTGTTTCTATCAGGTGAGTCCACCCGTTCTTCGTCGCCAACCTCGAGCAGGAGGTCTTGGCTCTGAGGAAGACGATGCAATAAGTCGGCGCAGGACCATCAGTGGACCAGAGATGATCCCTGGTCATCAGGCTGAGGTGTCGCCACAGCAACCACCTCAGCAGCGTCCAGAACCGAGGCCCCGCTCCACAGTGTTAACCTCAGCATCAGAGGTCACCGACAGCCCAGTGATACTCCGGAGGAAGCCGGCTCCAACAACCGCAGAGTCTGTAGCAACAACATCTGCAGCCACCAGTGTCATCACGGTGACGCCCGGGTCTGAACCCATACGTAGAAGACCCCGCAAGTCAGAGGAAAGCAGTAACCAATCAGACGTTGACAGTGGCCACACAGACAGCAGCCAGAAAAATGCACGAGAGCTTCAGCACAACGGCCGGGGCGTGGTTCTGAGGCAGAGGCCGACGTCTCAGGTGTCTGATAGGACGGAGCCGATCACAGAGAGCTGTGAGTGGATGGAGGCCAGGAAGTCTCTGAAGCCAGCGTTATCACCTAAACCATCCACAGTCCCCCAGAGGAAGACCCAAGCAGATCCCCCGACACCAACCCGCAGGGTCCCCATACCTGGACCTGACACCGCAGAGAAGGCCCAGAGTCCTGGTGAGATTCACTCACACAGAAAACACAATTACACCAGTGCCTACGAGTACTTATTAGTAATAGTATTTAATAATACACTGTGTTGTATTTCACAGTAGTGTGTTTACAACCTTATTATTCTATGTATTGTTTCAAGTATATTCTCTAAGCTCAGACAAGGACAAATAATATGTTTAACTTCTGAGGCTAATTGTTTTTAGCATTTTGGGACCGACTCTTCAGAACGTTTTCCACCACCATTTTGAAAAATTAACTTCCTCATTCTTTCTTTAAATAATGGTAAAATTTTGCAGCACTGGATAACAGTTTTATTTAGAGAGGTATTACTTACAAGAGTCCGTGTGTTCTGACGCTAGGCTAAGACATGCTAAATATGCTAACCACTCCTGTGTGCTTTTCTTTCTATGCTAACCACTCCTGTGTGCTTTTCTTCCTATTCTATAGATTAAAAAATAAATTCCTATCAGATAAAAAGTTATCCAGAGGACACATTAAATATAGCGCAAAGGTATTTAAGAAAAAGTTATCCAGAAGAGACAATAAATATAGCGCAAAGGTATTTAACAAAATTTTTTTTAAAAATACTTATATACTTATAAACATATTAATACCTAGTTACTATGTTTATTAAATTGACCTTGTAAGTCATCTCAAATGTTACTAAAACACACTAACAGGAAAAACAAGAACCTTTTCAAATATTAATTGCCTACCCGCTGTGGTGTTTTATAAATTATTAATTGAAAGATAGCAGTGGTGGGCTACATAAACCGTATCTAAATGTTGTGGTTGGCTCCCAGGTCAGTCGTTGGACGTGTGTGTTTTGCAGAAACGAAACCACCAGTTCAATTTGCAGGCCTTCAGAGTTTACTGCTCACCTTAAATCCAGGAGGATCGAGCTACGTATTTCAAAAACTCCTCAGACTAAACAGGATAAACCTTATGTGTGTATCCAGCAGCATGCACTTTATGTGCTCGTAAACATCTGTAGAGCTTCAGTGTAGGCGTCAGCAGGGTGGAGTCGGAATCAATTAAAAAAAAAATTAAATTTGATTCAAATGAAAAACCTTTTATCAGCGACTTCCATATAAATATTAATATTCTTCAGCCGTTTTACTTCATTTTGATGGATTTACAAAACTATTCAGCTACAACACAAAGCCTAAATGTTTTATGTAAGATGTGCCACAACAGTGATCAGCAACTGGTCATTTTATGTGTTTATTTTTCTTTTTGCTAAAACTACTTTGACCCTTGGTTATAATCAAAGCTGACGGATTCTGTCCAACTCCATGTCTGTCCAGAGTCCAAGCGTGTCCCTCCTCCTGTGTCCCCCAAACCACGTGGACCTCCCACAGCTCCTAAACCAGGCAAAGCCATGGCTGCTTCACCTTCCATGAGTCCAGGCTCCGCTGCTACCAGTCCAGTCCCAGCCTTCAGACCCTCCTCCCCGCATTGTGTTGCTCCACTTCCAGCTCCCGACATCCTATCCACTTCCTGTCTCTCTCCTGGACTCCCACCTACGTCACCTTCTCCTGCACAGAGTCCCTCCACACCTTCATCCCACCCTGTCAAACCTCCACGCTCCTCCATCACTGGGCTCTCTATTGACCTTAGTGGAGGAAACGAGGTGGAGGAGGAAGAGGAGAAAAGGAAAGTATCTGATGAGGAGAGGATTAGAGTCACAGAGCAGAGGAGG